AGACGCACACACACAAACAAACGACAAATCTGAACAAGGCTGCAAAAGCTCCATCTCCATCACCAAAGGTGCAAGCTTTTTCTGCAACTACAATTACTCAGAAAAATCCCTCCCTTCCCTTTCCTCACTCAAAATCCTCTCTGAAAATGTAATCCATGTGAAATCTCGGCCCGCCCACATCGGCTGGCTTTTTGTTCGAACATATTCACAAACAGATTGAGCACATCGAGTTCTTGATTGTCTTAGCCATGACCGGCAACCCCAATTCTCTCCTCTCCTCTTCTTTCTCGTCGACCTCGTACCAGAAAAAGGCGGTCCAAACACTGGCTTCGCGGCTCACCCATCTGCACATCCCGCCTTCATCTTCCTCCACCGCCGATGACCCATCTCAGGATTTCGATTTTTCCGATCTGTTCGGACCCACCGCCGCCGCCGGCGGGGGCGGCTCCCCTTCCTCCTCCGCCCTCTTCCTGGGGGACCCACAGGTCATCCACCACCGGTCCCACTCGTTTGTGGGCCCATCCCCGCGTTTCACCCTGTCCAAATCTCTGCCCCCTTTCGAGCGGGAGGATCAAGAGGAGCTTTACTATTCATCCGACGATATTGCTGCTAGCGATGTTAAAAATGGATTTCTTGAGTGTGAAAGTGAGAGTTTTTGTGACGGCAATGGCTCTGATCTTGACGGCGGCGATGTGGGGGCGAAGAGAATTGGGCCGGGTGATTTTGAGATCATGAGGGTGATTGGTAAGGGCGCGTTTGGTAAGGTGTTTCAGGTGAGGATGAAGGGTAAGAGTGGGATTCATGGTGATGGGATTTTTGCTATGAAGGTGATGAGGAAGGACACCATAATCAAGAACAATCATGTGGATTATATGAGGGCTGAGAGGGATATTCTCACCAAAGTTGTGCATCCTTTTATTGTTCAGCTCCGTTACTCGTTTCAGGTGGCTTTTTTTTTTTTTTCTTTCTCTATTTAATTTGATGACGTGTGGCTTCTGATATGGAGCTTTAGAGAAATTAGTTGAGTTGGTGGTATTGACGATGGGCAAAGTTAGATTAGACTTTACTTTGTTTGAGTTGCAATACTTGATTGTCTTGATTGCTGTGAAGATGATTAACGAAAAAGCGAATATTCTGATTATTTAGAAGCTTTTGATGTTTTCAGTATTGTAATGATGGTGTGGTCTTGTGAGGGCATTGGTGACTAATTGGCTTTGTTATGTCAAATTGGCAAGAAAAATTATGAATTCAATAAGTTGCAATCCTGTTACTGTATTTATTAGGGGAAGATGGAGATGTATGTACTATGTCCCGCTTTGTTAGCAAATCTTTTGTCTTTTGCCTTTTTGTATGTGTACACCCAAAATGTAAGTACAAGCTCTCGAGTTTGCATAAAAAAATGAGTCTTTCCTCTTGATATGCCAGAAGATGGGTCTTTATTTGGAGGAATTGATGAATTGAGGTCCACTAACCATACTCCCAAAGGACTTTAAGGAAAACTTTGTACAGGAGCTGGTGAAAATGATTGTGTACTGCAGTTTTTCTATAACCGATAGGTCATGGGTTCGAGTCACCGAGGAGGGGAAGTGGGAATACTATTGATCCTCCTTTTTTAGAAGAAGAAAAAGTAAAATTGATTGTGTACTGCAGTTCACCTATTTAAGATTTTGCAATTCACTAGATCCAACTATGAATCTTCTGTATCAATGTTTTGCACTGTAATTAGGAGTTATGAATAAGAAACATAAAATCCATTTATAATCTTATCATCAGCTCCCATCATTTACGTGTTCGGGGTTCCTAAATGCATTCATAGCTTTCCACTCTGACTTACTATGCTGTTCATGTCAACCATCTATTGCCATCCTTTATGTCTGTTTAAATTTGGAATGCGTATATTTGGGAAACTGCATTTTTGCCTTTTAAAAATCCATAAATCATTAGTTTCGTGTTATTTCACTACCTCATTGATTTTGGCTGCTTACATTTTCCTTTTTTCAATCTGTGTAGAAAAGACTTTTGATGCAACTTGTTGGCATCCTGATATTCATACAGTTTAACGTGCTCACCTGTATTTTGCCTCTCAATTTTACCTTTTTTGTACTTTACAGACGAAGTCCAAGCTGTACTTGATCCTGGACTTCATAAACGGAGGCCATCTTTTTTATCATCTCTACAGGCAAGGCATCTTCAGGTACCTACCACACTAGTTTTTAAACTACCTATACTGATTTTGTGTTCGTATACTTAATTCCTGTTTCTTCTTTTTCGGCTATGTTCTTGGGTAGTGAGGACCAGGCAAGGGTTTACACTGCTGAGATAGTATCTGCTGTAGCTCACCTTCACAAGAACGGGATTGTGCATCGAGATTTAAAACCCGAAAACATTCTCATGGATGATGATGGGCACGTATGTAGATAAAAATATTTATTTGCAGGAGCATGCATGATGCATGAATATGATGATGGAGAATATTTATGATTTTTCATCTTATATGAAGTGATTTGCTTCTTTACTGATGTAAATACTTGGATTTTAGGTGATGCTAACTGATTTTGGGCTAGCCAAGGAGATTGATGAATCGAGCAGATCAAATTCACTGTGTGGGACGACAGAATATATGGCCCCAGAAATCTTGCAGTCTAAAGGGCATAACAAGAATGCCGATTGGTGGAGTGTCGGTATCCTTTTGTACGAAATGCTCAATGGCCAGGTGATTTCTTGAAACCAATAGCAAAATTTTAGATAGTAAGGTCGTTAGCAAAATTTTAGATAAATCGAGAGGAATTTCGTATTTTTTTTACTCGGTTGGGTAGACTTCAGAAATTGTGGAGTAGAATATTGCAAAGGTCGGGGTTAATATCTTTTACTAAACTCTGCAAATTGGGATATATGATAAAAATAAAAAGCTCACACTTATCAGTTTTCCAGATCTTTTCTGGTAGTTATGCTCGAAAAGAAGTCCATTACACATTGCACTGCAATCATTATTAGTGTTGTTAAAGTTGGTCTAAGCAAGGCAATCCATATCTAAGTAAAAACAGAAAAAATTCCAAGTAATGGGAAAAAATAAAATTAACCAAAGCTAAAAGTAGTAGTTTTTTACAGGCGGTAACTGCATCTTATCAAATGATTACTGATTTTACTTTATTTTTCATTTTCTGTTTCTTTTTTAATTATTTTTTCAGCCGCCATACACTCATGCAAACAGAAAGAAGCTCCAGGATAAAATCATCAATGAAAAGCTGAAGCTTCCACCTCGTTTAACTGGCGAGGCTCATTCTTTGCTTAAGGGAGTAAGATTACACCCTTCTCTCTCTCTCTCTCTCTCTCTCTCTCTCCCTCTCTCTGCCTGCTCTAACCCTTTTTCATTCCTCAGCTTCTTCAAAAGGACCCATCAAAAAGACTCGGAAGTGGGACCAAAGGAGCGGATGAGATCAAATCCCATAAGTGGTTCCGAACGGTCAACTGGAAGAAACTAGAAGCAAGAGAATTACAGACGAAGTTCAAACCGGATGTGAGTGGAAAAGACTGCACGGCTAATTTTGACAAGTGTTGGACGACTATGCCCCTGGACGACTCCCCTGCTCCCACACCAACTTCCGGGGAGCATTTTCATGGCTACACTTATGTTGCGCCTAATCCATGGCTTTCATCCGTGTAAAGCATCATACTTCTAAAACAATACAAGGCTTACGAAAACCTGTGTCTTTAAATTATGAGTTACCTTTGTTTATCTATGTTCATGTATTCTAGGTTTCTCCATGATTTTCTTCTAGCTAAGATTTTATTAGTTGTTTTCGCTGAGTTATGCAAAATACTGGGTGACCAATTTCTGAAATTGTAAGATACATTGGAAGTTTTGAATTTTATTTTATTTTATTTATTTATTTATTTGGTTTAGTAATTGACAAAAGTTGCACATGAAGAAGGTGCTGACCACAGGTGGTCCCCACATGAGCTTGTGCATTTCTAGTGGCTCACACGTCTGGGGTATTGTGGATCGTTGAACTAGGATTCTATTTGACCACAAGCTAAAGGTTGTTGCACATGATTTTTATACCAACTTTAACTTTAGGTACGAAGTGTGGGAAAAAAAATATGACATTTTAGGTTAGAATCCTGCCCAGGTAAAGGGAAAATTAGAATAAAAATCAACTATGATGATTTGATTAAAGTTTAATATATCATCTGTTAATTGGAATGACCGGCCTCCTATTATTTTTTTTTTTTTCTTCGTCTTTCTTCTTTCTTGGTTAGAAACATTAACTATATCTTGATATGGGATAAAGACAACTAGTTATGTGATTAAACCAGCTTAAATAGAGCTGAGTAAGCTCAGCTTGGTGACGGCTCAAACATGGGAGGAACAATTTTTGGGAGCTTAAATAGAGCTTAAGCAAGTTTAAACATCTGGTTATGCGATTGAGAGATTTACGAGATGATGTGAGTGAATGGATAGTGAGTTTAAGTTGATCAGCATATTTCCAAATTGACTTTCAAGTTGAATGATACCATTTGAAATATACACTTGTTTTAATAGTTCATTCAACGTAATGTAAAGCATTTTTAATTGTTGGGATAAACAAAAGCAAAGCAAAACAAAACAAAACAAAACAAAACAGAATAAACACATTATTTGTTATCGATATTGTTATTATTACTTAAAAAAAAAAGGTGCACCACCACCTTATCCAACTACATCCATGGATAGTGCAAGATATTATGAGAACCACCCAAAGTGAAGAAAAGGACCTTACCACACTCTCAACATCACAATCAATGAGAGACAATGACCTAATTTTTCATCCCATTCACATCCACACAATATCAAAAGATATTCTCAGGATCTGTACCTATGCAACCCTACTCTCATTTAAAGATGATGAATTCCACTATAGACAACAAATAAANATTATCAACACAAACGATAAATAACCTACAATTCAAAGCAGATAAAAACAAACAAGTACAACATACATAGCAAGCATCTCTTTCTCCAGTCTGTACAATGAAAAAAAAAGATGACTTTTTTTTTTCTTCTTCTTCCTAGCAGAGCACACTAATAATCCTAGTTCTAGTTCTTAACTTAATCTACCTAACACACCATAACTGGATCTAATTGGCTTCCACACCAATCCTTGTTCGACCGGTTTTATTTTCTTCAACCCTACGAAACTTAAGCAACGCTAATATAATTATCACCATTCTTCAAGCTCGACATCATTTCATAATCCGAACCATTTGTACACGGCTGGTCTTGACAGCATGAAAGAGAGAGCCCCAGAGATAACGGTGAAGCCTCAACTGCGGCTTCAGCTTCGTTATTTAAGTTGAGATCCACCATTGTTAAGGGAGTCTGTTTAGGCGAGGTTTTAATCACGTTCTTTTGAGCAAGACTCGATTTTTCCTTCGAGTCTGTGTTTTTCATAGAGAGTAAAATCGGGCTAGCTTTGACCGGAGAAGGCCCGGCTGAGAATCCCTTGACAATAGTAACTATTGGCTGTGCATGGCTCTCTTGGTTTTTGTTACCCTTTTCAATTTGCATTGCAGTAGCCTGAAAACAAAAGGTCATATAAAATAAAATATCATCCACACACAATGCTGAATCAGAATCTTGACCTTTCCATCATATCCAGTTGCTATCACACACTCAGAAAGTTTTCNTTTTACCCCAAAAAAGGGGATCTTCTGTTTTTCCAAAAGTAAGAGAAATAGTGGTCTTCAGACCCTTTTCAATGAAATTTCTTTACAGCCAACTCAAAGAAAGAATCTCTCTTAGCTAACTTTAGCAATATAAACAAATCTGGCTCAATTTCACAAAGCAACAATATAATTACTTCAAAACTTCAACACAACTATGTGATAAAGACTTAAAAAGACACATCTCAATCAAAAGTAAACTCAATGGTCCTCATAGGACCCTTTCCAAGAAAACACCAGCAGACAACCAATACAATTAACTAAAAATAGCTTGTCAAAGCAAAAACAGGAAATCTATGTTAAATCCCATGTTCCAACATTTATTATGTGATCAAAACTGAAAATATTTTAAAAACCTTTTTGCTGTAAGAAAATTACCGAGTCGGTGGTCATGTCGAAGAGGCTCGACCGGCGCCGGCGGCGGTTGACGTTGTTCCGGCGAATGAAGTACTTTTGAGCATGGCTAGCGACTTGTGTTGGAGTGCGGGTTTTCACGAAGTTTCTAGAAATTCCCCTCCAATCTCCTCTCCCAATCCTCTCCAGTCCAATCAAGAACAGCCTGTGTTCTTCCTCTGTCCATGGAACACCTGAAAAAGGCCCACAATTTAAAGATTGGATTTTTATTGACTGCAGAGGAAGAAATCAAACGATGGCATAGAACCCAGTTGTTCTTTTTTCCCCTTGTCATATAATCCATCATCGATTTATCCATCAGCTACTAAAAAAACGAAAAAATCTCTATTTTCGCAACCAAGATTTTAAAGTTGAATATCCAAATCAGTACATTTTATATCATATAAATGAGAAACTACAAAAGCAAACGAGTGATTTGATAAAGAAATTCGCTAAAATGTAGAAGCTCGCACAATCAGAACGGATACAGGACACGCAATCCATCAAACAAACCTTATAGTAACCAAAAAGAGCATATCAAATGAAATCGAAATTTTACAATCTTTTACCTCGCTTGCGCTCGCGCTCGCGATTCGCGTTGGACTCCTGGGCCGCGGCGTCGTCGGCGGAGGCGTACCCCGCCGTCGCCGCCGCCCCACCTTTCTCAGCCGCAGCCTTCGGCGGCTCCTTGCCGTTGTTCGGGCTGCCGTCTTTATTAGCAGGCTCGTACTCAGACAGGTTGTTCATGCTCACGCTCTTCCTCATTGGATCGATTTTGACTCGCACCCCGAACAGGATGATCTCGCAAACTCTGCCACCATCCACGGCGGCGGACGGCGCCTCGTTGCTCTGTGACATTTTCTTGTTTTTCCTTTTTAGCTTTCTTCAATGGAGAGTGAATATGGATGAGAATTGAGTGGGCGTGGGTTTTATTTATACGAGGAAAAGGCGATGTGAGGACATGAGGGCCGTACAAATTTTTAATTGCTGGCAATTTTGCTTTTAATTGTTTGGGATAATAAATAAAATAAAATAAAATAAAAAAAAACGTTTTAATTGCTTAGGATAAATCGCCAAAGGATAAAGGGATAAGAGTTTGGTAAAGGTGCTTCTGCATTGGGAACACTCACTACAATATCCATAGTTCTATCATATTTCTAGTCATTTTATTATTTTTTTCTACAAATTTTTGTTAGAGGTTAGACTAATCGATTTATTATGTAATTTTTTTTCGAAAAATATATATTTATTGTTTTTTTTAAAATTTTGCATATTTTAATTTAAAAATATGTATATGCATAGTTACTGAAAAAAATATAATTATCTAAGCATTACTTCTAATAACAACCACCTTATTGAAATTTTTTATAGTTATACATAATTTTATTAGTAATGTAATGTACTTTTTTATAATTCTTGTGTTGAGTTCAACTTAGTATAAGAAAAACAAACATGTAATGGACTGAAAATGACAACTTTTAATAAGTAGGGAAAATTAGGGCAAATTTCTTTTATACCCCAGACTTGAAGATTACATTTAGGCGTGTTGGATACAATTTTTTTATTTAAAGTGGATTTTTTTGTTGATCAAAGTTAATTTGAAAAAAACAAGCAGTCTTGTTAGTTGTTAGTGGATTTTAATTTATATTAAAATTATATTTAGAATAAAATAATTAAAATTAATTTGATGTCAAGTAAGATAGAGATAGTATGAAGCGATAGTTAGTTAGAATTATATGAATGGATGAATAGTGAAGCAAAGTAGATATGATGTTAATAATAACTTGGTGGTATTATTTAATTATAATAATAATATTAAGGATAGTGAGGTTGGTTAAAGTTGAGTTAGATTTTGAGTTGGAAGAAAACTGGAGAGAAAAAATTTGTATCCAATCATATAAGTTTTCACCCCGCTAGTTAACAGTCTAACTTTTTCACCTAGAAAAATGCAAAAGTTATTCGAATGGTTGGCATAACTGTCACATATCAGTCGTATAACTTTCGCATATCAGTCGCATATTCATATTAGAATGTGCGAATGACTTCACATTTTTAACTTTCGCACAATTGTCTCATAATTAGCACATAAAGCTTTGACACTTTCTGGGGTGAAAAAACTAATTTTTTATCCAACGTTGTGAAAAAACTTATTCATTTTTTAGAACTGGGTGTAAATAACTGTTTCCTCATAAAATAATCTATATCAACCTGAAATTTTTTGATTTGCAAACTTAAAGATTGATTTTTTAAAAAAATGCAAAGCAATGAATGTGCATAGAATTGTAATTTTTCAATTTATAACTTAAATTTTGATAAAATACAATCTAAACCGCGTGTGTATATCAATAACAAATTATCAACCCATCAAAATTAAAAATTGGTTGGAAAACTATTACCCAATATTTTAAGTTTTTAAATTATTAATATATTTGACGTTTGAAAAAAAAAAAATAATACCCATTTTAAGCAAGCCATTAATGAATTGAAAACACTCGCCTGCCAATCTTCTTTCTTCCTAGTCTTGCCCTTATTGTCTGTGAACTTGTCCTCTTAATTCTAATAGTATTTACAAAAAATATAAAAAATATAGTTGGCAAAATTGGTGTATTTTAAATTTTTTCCAGTATATTTCTTTTTGTTTTATTTGTATTTAATGTGGATGATCAATTTTTCCAGTATACTTCTTTTTGTTTTCTTTGTATTTCATTTCATCAATTTGCACACTCTGAATAGAAAATTTAACACTACATAAATGGTCCTCGTGTTTCAAGTATTTAATACTTGCCCATTGTCTTTTCATGTGATATTTTCGGTGCCCATCCAAACTTTCCTACAGTAGATCCAATCGGGTAACATAGAGAAGTTTGGAGTGAAACGAAATAAAATAAACACGAGAGACGTAAAATATTAGGCCAAATCAATGGGCCTAAATGAATATGTCGTTCAATCCGTGAGGACCATATAATAAATTTGTTTTATCTATTACGCTATACTACTTCTATATAATTTAACTCAGTCTATAATTTATATAACTAACCGATTTTGTTATAGAACCATCGGATGACTCGGCTTATGGAGTCATCCATAGTTATCTACAAATGGTGTATTGACACGTGTCAATACATTGGACACGTGCCAATACATAAAGTTATGGATGACTCCATAAGGGAGCCATCCGATAGCTCCATTGAATTACTGTATAACTATATACTAGTACAACACTCGTGTATTACACGGATGCTTGTTAAAAAATTATTCTTAAATTTTAAAATTAATGAGAAAAATATTTTAAATTTTATTTACTTTTTTACAAAAAAATATATATTATTATATATTTTAGAATGATAATTGTTACTTGTGAGATTTACATGTGTTATAAATATATTAATTGATAAATAATTTTATTTTTTCTAATTAATATTAAAAAAATTATTATTGTTATAAATATAAATATAATTTATTTTTTTATACGTACAATATGGATGTTAAATCAAAAATATTAATTTGATATATTATATATGTAAAACTGATAAAAAATATAAAAATTATTACTTTTTAAAATACATTTACAATTCAATGGTTATAATAAGAAATGATATTAAAATGCAATTAATACATGTAATAACATGACCATAAATAATTAACATGTTTATGGATAATCCGGACCTAATTATTTTTGGATTGGAAGGAAATTAAAATATATACCCAATCTTAATAAGGAAGCATGTAATTTACCACATAGGATCCCGAAGCATGCGAACCTGCAATTTAGGCTCAGCACATTTTGATATTAAAATACAATTAATACATGTAACATGACCATAAATAATTAACATGTTAATGGATAATCCGGACCTAATTATTTTTTAATTGAAAAGAAATTAAAATATACCCAAGCTTAATAACGAAACATGTAATTTTACCACATTGAATCCGAAGCATGCGAACCTGCCACTTAAGCTGTTCACGTTCTTTATTAATATATAGGGGGATGACATAGAAATTGAAGCCATTTCCAATACCTTTGATTTGATGGTTTTTTTTTTTAATGTGACCCAAACCCATTTAGGAGACGGTGATAATTGATTTATTCTAACTTTGATTTGGTATATAGTGTTTGATAAATAACTAGTTATTTGATATATAAAATAATTAATTTTATAATTATATATTTTGAAAGGCTCAAATATTGTACTTTTTTCGGAATTAACTTCGGAACCAAATATCTATTTTGAATTGCGACTTACCAAACAATCTAGAGATTATAACAGGTCAAACCTCTAATTTATCCTCATAAAATGTTTATCAGTCATGACCTTGCTTGACTATTAGCTAATTGTGTTACGTTTTGCAGATTCATTAAGTGGTTTATCAAATAAACAT